GCACCCAGTTTTACATATAAATGCAAGGCCTGACGAGAATTTTTTGAAAGTACACGTATACTCGCCAAACTAGAATTCTCTGATGGAAATTTTCGCAACTCTAAAACAATCAAAGGATCTTAAAAGTTCATGACAAACAATTGTTTTCAGCAACTCGTCATCAGGCCAAACATTTGCAAGGATCAAGTGGTGTTAAAGGCACTCAACGGGTACCTACGTTTTAACACAAAACTTGCTGAGGCGAAAATACTGGCCAAGTTTATTGAGGACTGTATCGAATCGAACGAATACCCGAACAAATACTGGAGAGATCTACGACGTATTCAAACCGTGATCACAACTGAAATCCTCAGGAAATACGCCGAACATCAACTAGAAAGCGCTCGTGTAAAGATGGAGGAACTAGAGGGCCATGTGTGCCAACGCACTGCCGTTCTGGACACTCTGACAGACGAAGAAAGACACGAATCTATCACCTATACGCAGACCATAGAAATAAAACGTGGGGACGTAAAGAGATCGTCGCTCCTACGCAGGGTGCACGAGAGGAAACCACATTCAAGACTGCCCAAAGATCCAGCTCGGTATATACAAAACTACTCTTCTATCACGCTTGATAAAACAGCACTTGAAGCATTATCCCTGGGTCCTAAATTCTGCATGCCTACACGAAAGGTTGATCAGTTAGAATTAGAAACCCAGTTTGATAATTTTTATAACCTAACATATCATTTAAAGCCCATCTCCGCAGAATGTGTCCAGCACTTTAAATCCACACTGGTGAACTGTAGTTACCAGTATCTGAACAAGAGCACAACAAGCCGAGGATTGCTGACAAAAGCACATCTAGAAAAACTAAAACAGCTGCGACAGAACAAAGACATCCTGGTTACTAGACCTGATAAAGGAACGGGTGTCATTATAATGAACAGAGCGGACTACATAAGAAAGATGCAAACATCTTTTCAGACCAGACGAAATTCAAGAAAGTAGACAAAGAAAAGTATTGCACGGATGAAGTAGAGACAAATTGGACTGACTGCTTAAGAAGACTCCACGCGGGAGGTTTCATAAGCGACCATGACCTCGAAAGCCTGCGACCAGTAGGCGCTCACATCCCCCGTTTGTATGTTCTATCAAAAATCCATAAGAATGGCCTGCCAGTTCGTCCGATTATGAACATGCGCAACTCACCGTATCATGCGATAGTCAAGTGATTAACAGAGAAACTCAAACCTTTGCGGCTTCATTTGGCACCACGTAGCTATCGAGACACGTTCGAATTTATCGACGAGGTCAAAGACGTGAACCTAAGGGGCATGAGGATGCTCTTCCTAGACGTATCATCGCTGTTTACAAACGTCCCGGTTACAGAGACAGTGTATTAAATTTGCAAATACCTAGTGACGAATCAGCTGGAAATAGGAATACCGACAAATGTACTGAAGGAACTTTTACTTAAATGCACATTAGACGTGTAGTTTCTTTTGACAGCCAATTATACAGACAAGTAGGCGGCGTTGTCATGGGCTCGCCTCTTGGACCTCTCCTAGCTGACATATTCATGGGCAAGCTGGAGAAATTTCCACTAAGTGATCAGATCCACATGCTAAAACACTATGGTCGCTACGTTGATGAAATCTGCGCGATCGCTGCAACAGAAACCGACGTAGACGCACTCTTAAATGCGGTCAACCAAGCACATCCATCCATTAAGTTCACGCTGGAGATGGAAAAGGCAGGTTCCCTTCCGTTCTTGGACGTCCTCCTAAGTCGCAGACCTGACGGCAGCGTCCGAAAGGACGTGTATCGAAAGAAAACCTGATCTGGAGAGTACACGAATTTTAACAGTTTTATACCCCTTCAACAGAAGCGATTGGAATGGAGTGCACGTGTGTGAGAGAGAAGAACCAGTGGAGAGTGCTGCTACGGATTCCCGACAATCTGGCGTCCGGAAGTGAATAAGTGAAGAGGAAGTTGTACTTGAGAATGTTGTGAAGGAAGATTTATATCGAGATATTCAAAAGCTGTTTTCACATAACTATTTTTAACAAACTCACATTAAGCACCCACGATACCGACTCCTTCCTTTTGTGTGATTGTTGGAAGTAAGATGACGTCTGGAAGCGAAGAATCGAGGAATGGCAACGTGATGAAAGAAAAAGATGTGAGTAGTTATCCCCGTTATAGAAGGAGGAACCAACGACCAAGGTGCAAGTGTGGAGGATCGATAGATTATTACAGTGGTGGCAGCCATAGCCACGATACCCACCAACCCCCTCGTTCTACGCTGGCTCCGAACCACGCCATTCCTCCTTCCTTTCACATTTTTGACGGCTCGGAAGACTTCTCTGAATGGATTAATACCATTGACTTTGCTATGTCCTAACTGTGAATGATAGCCATTAAAAACGGTTTCAACGAGGCGAACTGGGATTATAGGGTGAAAAGGGTATGTACAGTAGCCGCCGAAGACCATGCAACGCTTATTATGAAATTTGCCTGG